GTCGAGGCAGTCGGTCGTTGGGCATACGTAACACGTGTCCCAGCCATCTCAACTGATGAAGTTTCACTACGTCATCAATTGATTTGCCATCCTTACCTAGTACCCGTTTCCTAACAACTGTGTTACTTACTCGATGGTCCCATGATATACGAGCAATGTTTCGAAGACACCTATGATCAAATACTAGTAACCTACGAATATCCTCTACCCTTACCGGCCATGTTTCACTGCCATAAAGTAGGACGGAACGAACTGCTGCGCAGTAAACACGTCCTTTGGTTGATAGACGGATATCTCGCCTACGCCATAAATGACGCAAGTTGGCAAAAGCTAGTCGAGCCTTCTGTATCCGTGCTGAGATTTCGTCACACACCAGACCACAAGGGCTGATGAGACTTCCAAGATAAGTGAAGCGGTCGACACACTCAACTACTTCACTCCCTATCACTAGTTCGGGTGTCGATGTAACCCAATCCTGAAGCAACATTTTGCATTTCGAGGGAGAGAATCGCATCCCGAACATGCTTGCATTGTTGCTTAGAGTGGTCAGAAGACTCTGCATTTTGTCAGCGTCTTCACCAAATAAAACTATGTCATCTGCATATTCTAAATCAACAAGTGAACCTCCTGGTAGAAGTTCAACCCCTGTAAATTTAGATGAGGAGAGTGTTATCTCTAAAAGTATGTCAATGACAAAGTTGAACAAGAATGGGGAGAGTGGACAGCCCTGACGAACACCACTTGAGGTGATCAATTCTGATGACAGTTCGCCATAAGCTCTCACTCGACCAGTTGTGTTCGAGTAGAGAGCCTTTATAAGGTTAATGTACTTCTTTGGTACTCCTTTCAGTGACAAACACTGCCATAGAACCTCACGATCAACGGAGTCGAATGCCGCCTTAAGGTCGAGAAATACTACCATTGTGGGGCGTCTGAATGTGTGTCTCTGTTCTAGAACCTGACGTAGTGTGAATATCTGATCTATACAACCACGTCCAGGTCGAAAACCAGCCTGGTTTTCTCTAGTCTGCTCTTCACGAGCTTTAGTTAGGTGTCGAAGTATTATTGAGGCTAATATTTTAGACACTATATTAGTCAAACTGATTCCTCTGTGATTGTCACAAGAGGACTTTTGTCCTTTCTTATAGACTGGCACAATCAGTGATTGAGACCAGTCAGATGGGATTACGTCCAGTTCCCAAATTCTACCTAAGACCTCGGTTAATCTCACTGCTAATACTGGACCACCATCCTTAAAAATCTCAGGACTAAACCTGTCAGGGCCTGCTGCTCTCCCTCGTTTCAGATTTCCTATGGCTTTTTCAACTTCGTAAAGGGACGGAGGACTTACATTAACTTGCCAGTCAGGTTGACTGGAGATCGTGGGAAACCGAAGTGTGGCTGAAGGCCAGTTGAACTGATCCCTAAAGTGTTCTGCCCATCGATCCAATCTCCTGGATTGAGAATGAATAATGTGTCCATCTTTCTCTGAGATTGTTTCGCTAACGGTCGGGTTCCTAATTCCGGTTTCCTTAACGAGTCTAAACAATTGTCTGCTATTACCTATTGCCGCTGCCTTTTCCATCTCTCTTGCTTTCGCTACCCACCACTGTTCGCGATCATTGCGTAGACTTCTTGTCAGCTTGCGCTTAAGCTGACTCCGCTCTTCATTATGTTCAGAGCCAGGTGGAATGAGTTTTCGAGCATCTATCAGTGCGCTAGATGCTGCTGAGATCCAGTGTTGCTCCCTAATTTTACGGTTTACCTTACTAGCAGATATCACTGCTGTTTCCACAGCTTTTCGGATATCGTTCCATGCTGCCTCGGGGTGGGCATCACATACATGGCTGCCTAACTGTTTTTCTAGTTGTTCCTGAAATATATTCTTAGCTTGACTATCATTAAGAAGGGCCCTAAGAGGTTTCCTTGAAGGATCTTTCCTACGTCCAGTAAGACGCAAGCAAATACGCGCTCGCACTAGAGCATGATCTGAATCTAGGCATGTGCTCCAGAATGAGCGACAGTCTTCTATCGAGCTCCTCCATCGGTGGCTGATAGCGATGTGATCTATTTGGGTTCAATGTTGGGACGAATTAGGGGGTCGCCATGTTAAAAGATGTTTTTGCTTATGCCTGAAGTTAGTATTTGCAAGAAACAGGTTATCTGAGCATTGCTGCGACAAACGGTCGCCATTATCTGTTCTTTGAGCCACGATGCTATAAGATCCACCTGGGTGTCTTTCCCTATCGCTTAGCTTACCTACTTGAGCATTAAAGTCACCGGCCACTATTACTACATCCGAGCGCTTAGCTTTTCGGAGAAGGTCCGAAAGCTTTCTGTAAAACTCATCTTTTACATCATCTGAGCTGCAGTCAGTGGGAGAATAGGCAGAGACGACGAAGAGTGTCCCTATCTTTCCGGATTCTTACTGTTCCGTTCAGTCGGACAGCGCACAAACGACTGTTTACTGGGATCCACTCTAAGAGAGCTAGTTCTGCCCTAGGACTCAATCCTATACCTACGCCGGCGGGGCCACGGGAAGCAGAATCAGGGCTTCCAGATACACGAAGTATGAATCGAGTCGGTTCTTTATTTTGGCATGGTGAGGTCAAATGAATGACGCTACTCGGATCTTGTATGCGCGTTTCGGAGACGCAGCACACATCGATGGCGCGAGATTCTAAAGTCCTAGCTAAGGAAGCCTGCTGTCCTATTTGGCACAGTGTTCGTACGTTAAAAGCTCCTACGTGCAGTTTAGAGCGTGGTTTCAGAAGACCAGGAATGGCGTTCCACGTACTCGAATCGTTTGCCCTAGCGGTGCGAGGTGATAAAGAGACGTGAGGAGGGTTAGTCGGGAGGATAAGAGAGGTATTAGGACGTGTAGGAAGGATTTGAATGTGACCACCTTGGTCTCTTGTGCTGTAACGGGTATGAGGGCTGATGTCACTTCCCGGCTGCCCACACCGTGGAAGGGTATTTCTTGATGAACCTGAAAAGGAAATTGGATTAGTGTTGGTCTTGACGACCTGGGAGCGTGACCGCAGAGCCCAAGGGACAACTGCTTGAGGCCGGTCGCGCACGGCCTTTTTGTGGAAGGTTTCTGACGTGTTAGCTCCGTTCTTCAAGGGGCCTTACCGCCGGAGACGGAAATCCGTGAGGTAAGGTGAGGTGTGCATTTTTAGGGTCGACCTTTTCTAACCCCACCCTCCTTGTGGGAAGGCAGCATCGCTGTCATGCTGGTTGTCCGAGGGAAACACCTTACTGCTGTCACACCTCTCTACAGTCAGCAGTACGACTTCGCCCTCAGACCTTGAGTTGCTGCTTTTAGTCTTACCGTTCGCCAATCGACCTGCCTGGCATGGTAGAACCTGCAGGAACATATGTTCCAGCCAATATAGCTCGGTTGGGTCATCACGATAGGCAAGCCCGACCACCGCGTCAAGGTAGCAGCTTCGATCGGGAGTTACTTACTACTACGCTAACCAAAGTTCAAAATACAATAACCCTCAAAGATAAAACAAAGACATATTCGAGTGCAAAAGTACTGGAACAGCACAATCGGGCCATAGGAAAACGTTGACATTCTAATACGTTTTGTACGATATACGAAAACGCAAAGACCACAGAGAACCAAATGACCTACCCTCACAATTATTGTGACTTTTTGCATGCGGTACCTAACTCCGTTTAGAGCTCTTCTATGGTTACTGCCGGTGGTCCCCAAGTCCGGATAAAAAAGGGGGTTAGGCAAAAACAACAACCTAACAAGGGCGGAGAGAGCTAAAGCACAGGTCGAACACTGAGGCAAACACAATAGTGAAGAGGGCCATCACAGCTGATAAGCGAAAGACCTAGCAATGACAGCAGGAAAAGCTGGAAGAAGATATGAGACAACTATATAAAACAAGGAAGAAGCTGGAGGGGGAATATAGTAAACCAGTCAAGAACAGAGAAGGAATACCATTCAGAGATTCAAGGACAGTGGAACAGGCGGGTGCAACACTTTGAAGAGCTCCTCAATAAACTAACCTCATGACAGCATTCCTACAGTTGAGGAACATATGGGACTCAAAACAAATGTCAACTAACATCAAAGTCGAAATCCTCAATACAAACGTCAAGACTGTCCTATTGTACATAGCCGAAACTGGGAGAACCACCACAACCATCATCAAAAAAGTACAAGCATTTGTCCATGCGAGACACTCCAGATCCGTTGGCCGGATACCATCAACAACAGATCACTGTGGGAGAGAGCAAACCAGCTTCCGGATGAAGAAACGCAAGAGGTGGCTCGGACACGAAATTACAGGAATCATCAGACCGCATAACGAGGCAAACCCTGACGTGGAATCCTGAGTGTAATGAAGAGAGGAAGACCAAAGGACACATTGCGCTGGGAATCAGGGGTAAGCATCAAGAGAGTGGAGTGGCAGTTGGAAACAAATGGATAGGGTAGTCCAGGACAGAGTTGGTTGGATAGGCATGGTCGCCTCCCATGATGCAGGAGAGGTAAGGGTATCAGGACGAAATAAGTTGGTCTACCGGACATGTTAGTAGTGACTACAGATCTTTCTATAGATCCATCTCCTAGATCAGCAAACTTGATTCTGTAAGAACCGATTGTTCATCGACGAAATTGAGAAATGTCATTTTTCAATAATTATCTGATGGAAACCCATTACTGTATATAAGGTTTTTGTACTGTGAAAACGCATTAGATAGCGTGGAGAGAACCTTACATAGTATACTAAAAAAACCCAACGATTTCATAATTGACAAATATCTCTACTTTTATAGTTAATTCCGTGTTGGTTCAACCATGCGAAACTATAGAAAGTTATCTTTGAGTCTTAATCAAGGACCTATTTTTATTTCTTAACGATTCTTACAAAAATTTCTGGATTTATTAGTTTTGAAATAGCATACGTAAATTTCTCACCCTATATGAAACGTCCATAAAAACCCGAGATAGTAACATGAATAGATAAGAAATAATTACTAAAAAAACTCATCTGTTTATTTCATCCCTATCTAGATTGAATAATCATTGAATAAACAACACAAAATTTAAAACCGTTTGAAAAATTAAAAGGTACGTGACTCACGATATTTGATTGATGAAACACTTAGTTTTTGACACAATCTTAGATGAACCGATATCATAAAAACGTGGAAAAATTTAAAATGTACAATACTGTTATTATAAGCGGTATACGACAATGAAGATCACAGAATAAATGGTATCGACATGTACAAAAGAATAAAGTACAACACAACACTTAGTTGAATACAAAAATTGAAAGAAATACAACAGTATAAGATGTGTAAATGTTTTTCCCTTAATTCTACTATTTATATTTAGTAGAGATGATAACTCCGAACCAGATGTCGGTTGGGAGAATGAATGTGCCCTAATCCCTGATTCCCTTAAATGTTTTATTAATACCCAAAGGAAAGTCTTAATTGTTAATCTACTTGACTAATATAACCCTTAATCCCCTATCCCAACTAAACCTAATTATCCCCGAGTCTTAGCCCTATATGAACACCCAAACTAGTACTCTCAGAAGTAAAAAAAAGAATCATAAGACAAAAAAGTAGAAGATAAGTAGACATGGAACTATTTGAAATTAAAAGGCTAGTTCAGTAGAGAAAACTATAGAAATACCTTAAAATAAAAGATAAAACATGTTGTGTTCAAACACTCTTTGACATCCCAAAAAACATGTCAAATATCTAAAAAAAAACTCAGAAAAACATGTGCAAGTGAAAAATAAGGAAAACGGAGAACTGACAGCGATATTTCCAACGGATGGCGTTATATACGGCAGTGATTGAACCAACGGTGAAACATACAGACTGGAGAATTATTAAAGCGATATTCGTTCTTTTAATTTCATCTAAAAAATAAGTGGATATTACGATAATAAAATGGAGAATCATAACTAAAAAATCGAGAAACAATAAATATACTTGTTGTGGATGCGGAGGAACAGACCAATAGTTATCATGTTAAGTCCAATGGTGTCCTTGGACTTTAAATGGACATTTCCTATTGGTCGATATCTGTTCACTTGTTGAATATTGTATAAAATGTTGTTTTCTATTCTATGGTACGATGTGGTATGCTTGGTTAGTATATAAATATAGTATGTTTGAAACATAATGATTTATATCTCAGAGGCTGTGGCTTGTGTTCTGGACTCAACTGGCTGGGCTGGACAGGGAAGCAGGACCAATCAGAACTGTAGGCCGTTCGTTCGTGTTTACGTGTCACTGTAGTCGGTCGATAAGTACGCTGCTCTCTAATTTTCCAGTCAAGGACACAACAATTAGCACAGGGTAAAAATCGACAGCAACCTAAAGTCATAACAATACTGAAAGATGTGATGATTAATTTATTTGCACTGGTTTGTACCACTAGAAGGGCAATATACTTCTCCAGTACTTTGAATCATGTTGGGAAATTGCTTAGAACTAGTTTAGTTACACATCTATAAAATGGTGATGGATATTTTATAATGTTAGTGACAGACAAATAATTCAAAGACCAAACTGGCAGGAGCTAACAAATGAACTGGTATTAAAGGCAAAACAACTGGTTGAAAAATGAGGTTTGCCTTTTAGTAAAATACACATCTGTAATAAACAATTACATATGATAATTACATGTCATGGGACATATAGATGGTTTTAGGAGATAAATTTTATGTCACTTACGTCTAAACGGATGAGAGCGGAATACTAAGGTTAATTATTACACGTTGTATCAATAATTGTATGAGGTGTAACACATGTTTACCAAGTTACGCTAAAGGTGTCTGGAACCAACCATCGTCAATCAATCATCTGTAATTGATCGGATGAAAGTAACGTTACTTCTGCAAAGATATCGTTCTCCCTTTAGTTACAGAGTTCCTATACTTACTTTATCAAGTATTATGTGATCATGTTGCATTGTCGATCGCATATTTTCTAAACATCAAAATTGCAAACTTAGCAGCATAGAACTTATGGATAAGACAATAGTTGTGTTACGAAAACACTGTCATTTGTACGGGAGCACAATGCTATCATGCATTCACATCTTAAAACATTTCGACTAACATTCCCGGCAATTTAACAGAGAAGCAGACTGACTGTAGTCATATCACTTATACATAAGTGATGCCACAGATGAATTAACGTTCTGTGATATGAAATTCAAATAAATTACATGGATACATCGTTTACTCTTTTATCCCGAACGGATATGTAAGTTGGGTAACTCGAGTAGACACTGTTTCTCTAGTGAGGAATAAGGTGCACGAGTACAATAACCAGATACTACAAGTTGGATTAAATTTTTTCGTAATATTTTAACAATTCAATGTAGTCTTTAGGATATATATATAACAGGAAGCCACCAGTACTATGAAAAAATGTGTAATATTTAAAAAAAACCTGTTTCTCAGTAACACAAGATGGTACACTTCACAACACGCTAACACTGACGAATTCAGCATCGATGAGATGGGTACTTAATATTTTCGATAAGTGACATTTCTTACCGCATTACATGAATCAGTTAACTTGGTTGATCAAAACACTGGATGCCAGATGTAAGATAGTTAACCATACTCGAGGAAAAATCGCGAAGGCCAATTGTAAAAACATTGAATCGACGTAAAAGTGGGTAGGCGCGAACAAAAATTAGGACCAAACCATGCATTACTCAAAAATCAAAAAATCTCAAAGATTGTACTGAAGAGATAACCGTTCACGAAGCATTGGAGGACACTGACTCCAGAATTTACTCCAATCATCTTCTCCAACCTGGACTTTGAATCCATGTAAAATCTGATAGTTGAATAAAGATAACAAAACACAAGAACATTTTTCAGTCATCACACAAATGTAAGCGATTCAATGAAATTAAACGAATGTTTCCACATGATAGTGATGAAAACAACCGTGTAGGAATTAATGAAATGATCAACGTTTTTGATAATTCATTGTCCCGACTTTAGCTGCTACCTTATGGTAGCGGTCGGTCTTGTATGTCGTGATGACCCAACCGAAATATATTGACTAGGACACTTGTTCCATAATGTCCTAACATATAAGGCAAGTTGGTTGGAGAGAGATACGAATAAAAGCGGCAACTTATAATCTAGTGGCAGAGTCTTAATGTTGGTAAAACAGATGTATGATGGAAGGTGTCTTCCACAGAAGATTAACACCTGTAGTGATGCTGTCTTCTCGAGACGGAGGAAAGCGTTTGGAGGTTGATCCTAAAAATATACACCTCACCTTGTTCCACATACTTCCATTGCCGTTAGTAAGACTTTGGTGTATGCTACTTACGTCTGTCGACATAATCGGAAGTGGAAAAACTGGAAACAGAAGGCTAAGATAGAGTTGAAGAAAGCAGAAAGGGAAATAGAGAGGGATTTTGAAGTCGAAGAATCATACAGAATGTGAAGGACAATTGATGGAAGTTTTACAAATAAAGTATTTAACGTATGGTTCTCATATTTTAAGGAGACATTCACCATCTTGGTCCTCGTTTACTACAAAACTTTCGAAGCACGGAATTAATTTCTTGTAAACTACCCACAAAAACCTCGATTTGACCAACCCCAAAACATTGACTGTTGGGCTCTGAGGCAACTCTTCTAGGTCACTAAGACTATTACGAGTAGACTAATTTTCTTCCCAGGTTCCTCAAGAGACATCTTTTCAAGATAGTCCAGTAATAAAAACTTTTTTTATACTCCTACCACCACCTGAGATCACCGTAAATAACTCAGTCATAAATAATGAACGTTTTAGGTCTTCATCAAGTTAAGCATTTATTACATGTCAAAATGACGAGTTCATTTGAATCACAAACACTTAATTCATTGATACTAACCAAGATGAAAAACTCAAAAGTTAAATACAGAATGAGTAATCAATTTAGATTTAAGCTTAGGTATAACTGCATTCAGCCTGTGTAATTTATGGAATTCAGCTAGAAAGTTAACACCTAACATGGTTTCGACCAGTTTGATCATTCAGCCCTACATTTAGCATAATGTTAAGTAAACTGGAATATGTGAAATGCTTTAAACAAACTTTATTTCGCTAAGTTTACAACTATATTGACTGAAAGTCAGTAAGCTTTTGTCAGACCACTTATTTAGATATCAATTTAGAAGCAATATAAATTTTAAACATCTTTGAAGTTAATATTAGCTTTTTGATTAGTAATTCTGACCACCTCTGTGTGGTAGAATAGCAAACACACATAAGTGTAAAACGAGTAAACCTAAAAATTAGTTTTTTTTAAAAATAAACCATGTAGTAACAGATGAATTTCCTGAAGATGCGTTACATATTAAGTAGCGGAAGGATACACTTACAGCATTAAATCTCTCTTTTAAATCGTCTTTAGGATTATTCCAAGAAGCTACAGCGTCACAAAAGAAAAGGAAATCATGTAAGACACCGGCAGGATTGAGCGTAATCAAATTACAAATACCACGAAATGCACTGTCTTTTTCTTCATTGTCCCTTATATTGCGCAAAAACAGACACCTGAAGAGCAAACAGAAAATCGACTGAGCATGTAACTAAAATAAGTAAGAACATTGAACATGAAATATAAATACGCACATAACAGCCAAATTATCCTGATGGCTAGTAACCGTAAAACTAAACTAAGTGCAAGCCTACACTGTTATTTTACGTGAGAGTTTTAAATAATTCAGGAAAATATTAAACACTCGAGGAACATCTGTAGTTAACCCGCCTTAATTTAAATATACAAACCTAAAAATTATCTATGGAATGAAACAACTTGGTATTATTTCAAAAATTTATAACCAGCTACAAACAGACCACAAAAAATGTATCAGGATAAGAATGCCAATAAACGCCTTGAAATCAGATGAGATGGACACTAGAGAACCGAAAAATTCAAAGTTGGCTTCATGTTTAAATGAGTTATTCGAAATGCCAAGCAAAAAGGAAGAGAATAAGTATGAAATCTAAGGATAAATATACGGAAGATTCCTAAGGAATTATTGTCTTCTTTACAAGGATGAAAATGACAGTATCACGCAAGCCTTGGTAAGTGGGATAAAACAATTGTAGAAAAAATAAACAAGAAGTACACAATATTTAGAGCATGAAATAAAGTCGATATATTTTTTAACTCTATAGACTTCTGACATCTTCAAACATGGATTGATAGGTTATCGACTACATTCAGAAAATCGTACATACCATATAACTCATACAAGAAAAGACGCGAAGGGGTATTGGAACTTTAAAATGTTATGCTCAACAATTGTCGGTCGGATTGGAATACCGACAGTCGGGTTCCTGGAACTCAATAAACGAGGGAGCTAAATTACGTCTTTGAATCACATCAACTGTGAACTCAGTGACCAGTGCTAACAAGATAAAATCTTGACAGTTGCATACAAACTGCAAGTTCACATCGAAAAATTCTAACAGAGCCGCTTTTAATCAATGCTGATAAATGAGTCGGAAGTAAACTACAGGCCTTTTCTGGAAGTTCTAGATAAACTACTAAACTAATGATGTATTTTTTGGAGTTCCGGTTATTCGGAAAATTTTGCTCTAATTTCATCCTTTTTTATTTTGGAACAAGTCGAGTAAAATAAGCAAATTAGGAGTATCAGACAGTGGGGAACGTAACACGTAGTTGAATCCAACTCATCAAGCCAAATACATTGAATCACTGCAATCATAATAAGATTAGATCGATTTAGCACCCAGCTATTTTATCTTAGATAAGTTATCGAGTGGATCAACCTATTTATTATACAAATGAATATTGGGATGTTTTCCCAAGTGTATTATTTATATAAACAGACCTTAACATTTCATGAGCTTTGAGTTTCACCAAGATCTTGGTGCTAAATCATTAACGCACCTGTCATTAATCTCCACAATCGACAATAGTAAAATAATCAATAAAAAATCATTCTTATGGGGACCTTCAGGGATTTACATCATATCAAGAAGCTAACAAATTCAGATCTGTGTGTTTATTAGATAGACCATGTGAATGTAGCCACATAACACAAAATTTATTAACTTAAGTTTAAAAGATCCTCATATTGACACTCAGTCACCAAAACATGCTAGTTACTTACTACGCTAACCAAAGTTCAAAATACAATAACCCTCAAAGATAAAACAAAGACATATTCGAGTGCAAAAGTACTGGAACAGCACAATCGGGCCATAGGAAAACGTTGACATTCTAATACGTTTTGTACGATATACGAAAACGCAAAGACCACAGAGAACCAAATGACCTACCCTCACAATTATTGTGACTTTTTGCATGCGGTACCTAACTCCGTTTAGAGCTCTTCTATGGTTACTGCCGGTGGTCCCCAAGTCCGGATAAAAAAGGGGGTTAGGCAAAAACAACAACCTAACAAGGGCGGAGAGAGCTAAAGCACAGGTCGAACACTGAGGCAAACACAATAGTGAAGAGGGCCATCACAGCTGATAAGCGAAAGACCTAGCAATGACAGCAGGAAAAGCTGGAAGAAGATATGAGACAACTATATAAAACAAGGAAGAAGCTGGAGGGGGAATATAGTAAACCAGTCAAGAACAGAGAAGGAATACCATTCAGAGATTCAAGGACAGTGGAACAGGCGGGTGCAACACTTTGAAGAGCTCCTCAATAAACTAACCTCATGACAGCATTCCTACAGTTGAGGAACATATGGGACTCAAAACAAATGTCAACTAACATCAAAGTCGAAATCCTCAATACAAACGTCAAGACTGTCCTATTGTACATAGCCGAAACTGGGAGAACCACCACAACCATCATCAAAAAAGTACAAGCATTTGTCCATGCGAGACACTCCAGATCCGTTGGCCGGATACCATCAACAACAGATCACTGTGGGAGAGAGCAAACCAGCTTCCGGATGAAGAAACGCAAGAGGTGGCTCGGACACGAAATTACAGGAATCATCAGACCGCATAACGAGGCAAACCCTGACGTGGAATCCTGAGTGTAATGAAGAGAGGAAGACCAAAGGACACATTGCGCTGGGAATCAGGGGTAAGCATCAAGAGAGTGGAGTGGCAGTTGGAAACAAATGGATAGGGTAGCCCAGGACAGAGTTGGTTGGAGAGTTATGGTGGGCGGCCTATGCTGCACGAGGTAGGGGCTAACAGCCGTGAGTAAATTCATAAGTGGTAACTAAATCGGGGAATCATACATTCGTTTTACAACTTACCACTGACGAATGAAAGTGCTTAGATGAGGAGCCAATTCACCAGGACAAACAAAACCAAGACGTCCAATTGTTATCGCTGTATGTGAAGTAAATAGAACAAAGTTTATTTGCATCTATATAAAGTGTTTGTGAAATTAGCTGCAATTTCTATTTGACATTTCGGATCTATCTTATTTAGATAACTACGTAAAACCTGAAAATACTGGACAGTTTTGTTTTTGTATGGAGCTTCTCAATAGTCAGCGTGCACAACCCACTCTGGATAGGACCCCAGACACTGGAGGCTTACGACGAGCTCTTCACGTTTAGATTACTAGGTTCGCATCTGATGGTTTGAACTTTTGACCTCAATTATATATCTTATAGCCACCAACCAAATCTATCAGTGGGCAAATTGCTTACTATTGACATTATTAGACTATTAGTCACGATTTTTTACTTAAGTTCTGGCAATTACGTCCCAAAAATGGGCATCCATGGGATCGAACGATGGTCGTATAACATTCTAAACTAACGGAGGCTAGAAGGTTAAGGGCTGGTTGCGGGTCCTGAAGATCCTGAATTTGGTACCAGAGGGCCTTGAATATTATTATTATTTCAACACATAAATATCGGTACAAGAGGGCACCAGATATATATATGTGCCACACCATATTTGTGTGTGTGGACTGTGATACTGCCCGGGTGCCCAGACCGAAGCAGGTGGTTTTCTTAGGGGGCCACTCCCCGAGCCTTTGACCTAAAGGTCTGATCCACAAGGCAGTGGGACATCGTGAGGAGATTCATACCCATGGTAGCCGGTGACCAACGATTGGTTCATACGCCATTTGTTCCCGCAGGATACTGGAGCCCATGTGCACCATTGGTTTGGGATCCGGTTAGAGCGCCGGACATTCGCTTTTCGTCCTCTCATTTTCGTAAACAACACCCCCGCCACGAGAAGGCAATGAGTATGACTTCCCTGGCAGAGGCTGTATACGCGTGGCCGTGTGAGAGCATTTCGAGAGGGAGGGCGAACCCCCCCCACTCTCGGCCATACCAGGGCATTTGGGCCTTGAATAAGCATCACTGTCATACACTAGGACGAAGCAGTTGTCCAGTTCTTCCTATTTTTTAGAGGTTGTCTAACCAAGGTCAACCCGTGATGTAAACTACATCTAAACTTTGTAAATACTGAACACTACTATTGTTAAGTCAAGAAAGATGTCAATCAGAAATCATATAGAAAACTACAGATTATTTAGGTTAGTAAAAAGTTATGTTACAATTAACAATAAAGAATGAGAGCTGTACATAAAGTGTGTGCCAATTCTGATTACCACCACTAGGAAAGTAATCATTTGTTGTACGATTAGGCTGAAAACAAAACACTAAAATTATTCGATCATTTGGTCTATTAAAGTGAGATAAACAAAAATACCCTGATCCTGACATAAACGTTTAGCGGTCGAAATCACTCCGCTTCACAAAGCCATTGAGACACTATAACTACAAGATGAATGGGATTTTAGTGACCTAAATATAAAAGTTAAGGTTACCCTTTGTGTTGTTGTGAAGTGTAACCGTTATGTCACCTCCAAAACTACAAATTCAAAATGCTGCTAATCCAATTACATTATTCTAATTGACAGTTATGTTTTTATCTGATCGTGGTGTCAATGAGCATTTGCGAAAAAAAAGAGGACAAACAATTCATATAAACTCAGTAGTAAATGCTTATACAGCGCAATGAAATTTAGACCTATATGGGCGTAAGAATTAAATCTAGGAATTTTCCTCACAACAGTAAACTTTCCTGGGAATCAATATCATGAAAAACACATTGGTACGAAAATTTGTGATTATGCGACAAAAAGTTTACATACCAGTATTTTCGTGGAGTGTCTTAGGTGTGCTTTGACGATTGATAATTTCTATCAAGGGATGAATGAACAAAGAAGCAAACGGTGCCATCCCTTCACCTGAGAAACAAAAAACGCAATTATATCTCATATCAAACATTAGCAGTAAAATTTTTGGCTTAGATTGTCATGCTAATGCTTTCTTATTAGCAACATAAAATCTGACAATAAAAAACGGAATACATTCAGCCAGTCGATTGTAGGGACGACGAAATCTGGGACAAGTGTGAATGGTTTAAGTTGATATAGCATAGTAAGAGTAAGTTAAACTAGAAAATGAAACGGAAATAATGTCATTTTCTGTGGGGACGAGTCAGATAAAAGACCAAAAAATAAGAAGTGGTATCAAGTTTAATACTTAAAGATGTGGGTGGACTACTGAAATCTAAGATTTACAAATTTAGGGAGCTCGCAGTTGAATGCTGGTTTAGAGCTAATTTAATTCGTAGTCATCGAACTTGGTTGCTACACAGTAAGTTCGCATGGTTGGGAACAATAATTGGAATTTATGTTAGTTATATTTGTGTTCGGCTCTATTACACGTATTGGTATTTGATGAGTAAGCACGTGCAATCTAAATATCAAGAATCCAAATCAACGAAAATTTACAAAGGACCCAACTGGTTCACTTTTATCTGTAACATTACATTATGAATCTGTTATGTCCCGACAAGAATAATGAATGGTAACTTTTGGGTTCCATTTACGGACCAATACTAAACGTATATTTCTATTGTATAATTATTAAGTAACTAAACTATGCATATTCATATTCCTCTTATTATAAGCTTTATTTTTACCCATAAACTATTATGATACGTTTTAACATTCTTGAGTTATACCCAGTATATTAATTACTACCTCCCTCATTCACAGCCACATCTGATTAACTTTTCTACAAATGTTGTTTCATATTTTATTGGTACGTTGTGGTCTGTTTGATTGGTATATAAACTCAGTATGTTTGAAATATAATGATTCATATCGCAGAGGCTCGGACTGGTGTTTTGGACTTAATTGGCTGGGCTAGGCGGAAAGCAGGACCAATCAGAACTATAGGCTGCTCAAACGGGTTCACACGTCATTGGTCCGATCGATAAGTTACTGCTCTCTAATTGGCGGTCACAAGTTATAAAAAAATATATAAAAATCGTAAATACCATAACCCCAATTATCTAAATTTTGATCACAAATAATATTCAAAATGCCAAATACATGTGAATTGAATAACTAAAAATCACTCACCCAATTGAATACAAATTTCTCCGATTGCCCAAATAGCATTGTTACTAACAGATATATGCTCCGAACTGAGATTATTAGCCAAAATTGTCATAAACTGACCAATCTGAGGTTGGATGTGCGCAAAGCATGCTTTTGTTAAATCACCCAAGAGAGCAAAACTACTCTGGCGGACGTCTGGTTGAGCGTCTTGAGCTGCTTCACATAGTAACTTTACCAGGGGGCTACTTGATACTAAATGTTCCATCTGAGACCCAAGACCTTCCATAAGCCCACTTAGGAGATCCAGAGAAATCACCATAAAGTCTTTGTCTGGTGGTTCATATACATCTGGTTGTTGAGCATGTAGCTGTCAAAAATGAACATTTAGAAATATTCAACGAAACAATTACATTAAGATGTTCACTGAACATCTAACAGTATTTGTATTCCAACTCTTATAACAAATCAAAGAATTATTCGGGTAAATATTTGCGCGAGTAAAGTCAACGTGGATTCAAAAGGAAACAAGGGATTTATAAATACGGGTTACTGTTTCAACTATTATTGAGTAATTCCACAACGAAATTATTGACTGGAAAAATTATGATACTAAGGAACATCAAGATCTTTAATAACCATTTCAGAAACCGTCAAGTTAAAAGTTATATTTGAATTAATCAATAATTCACAGAGATGGACTATGTTACTTTAATACAGGTAAGCATTTCTAAATCTTTTACACTAGCTAACGCTGTACAAGAATGGCTAAATGTACAAAAAATATGGAAGTTAACTGACTGCATTTTGCTGCGTCTACGCTTATAACTGAAATCAGTTGAAAGTATGTAAGTTAAGAGATTAACACAATGGTTTATATCACCAATCTAAACTGTTTAGAAACTAAGACACACTTACCTTACTGAGTTGTATTGTTCTATCAATTAAATTAACACATCGACTAAACACAGGAGAGCAGTAGGGTAGGAAACCTGTTCCTAGGGCAGTAGCCATGCTAGAAAGGCACTCCAGAAGGGGGAATAAATCTTTCTCGTCATCTCGTAAAACGTTCCACTTCTCAAAAAGCGGTGGCATAAGCATCTCTATGAAATCCTTTGAGGAAATTACGAGATTAATTTAAATTTACCGGTCGATTGAGATGATGACCAACAGAATCTGCAAGTGTACCTATAGCATCATACAAAATAAACAAGTTTTTGTGTTGATACTGTTTAAGCGCGTACACAAGAGTTCGTAGGATGAGGTCCAGATATGGGACGAGATCTGTACATGCTTCTTCTTCTAGAGTAGCGAAAGCAGAACAGGCTGCCTCCTGAACACGTTTGTTACAATCCAAAATTCTTTTGAGGAGCTACAACAATCAAGTTTAAAGGTTGACTTACCTCAACCATTAAAGGCTTGAAGTATTGTTCATGAGGTTGTCCAACGATCCAATGAGAATAACGGCTTAATGTCCAACAAGTTATACTACGTATGAGAGGTCTGTCATCCGATAGACAACCAATCAGGAACGGACATAACTCTGGAAGGTATGGAATCATGCCCTTCATACAACCTTAACGAAGTCATTTACTATAATGAACTAACCTTCTGCAATAGCACCAAGAACCAAAATACCAGACTCCTTAAGTTCCCACTGAGGAGAAAACAGAAGTTCTTTTGTGATTGGCAACAAAATAGGTAGAAAATCTGTGTGGAACACACTAGCCAACACATCAAGGGCAGCAGCAGAACATTTCCTGAGAGTCCAGTTGGAAACGTAATCGTCGTCTTCATCTTCGTCATCATCCTAAACAAAAACCACTAGAAGGATGATTGTATTTACCTCTGGAGAGAAAAGTTTATTTTTCGTCTTATGAAACCGTGGGCGAATATCGCATTCCTTGTCAGGCAGATGAGCATCTTCTTCTAAATCATTCTACAAAAATATTTTGGTTTAAATGTCTTACTCGAAGTAACACCATATCACTTTCTGAATACTTCATTCCACAAACTAAGACTGGGATAAGTCGCCCGATATATGGCGACAGGGCTTGGTGGCACACAGGTTGTTCAGAAAGCGAGAGCCAAAATTCACATGCTTCTCTTGAAATATTTTCATCGTTTTCTTGAGTGCGAAGAAGCATAAACTATTTTTTTTCAATTAAAAACACAGCTTTACCTCAATGATGTCAGGTAAATTTGGAAGTAATTTATCCAAGTGAGCTTCCAGAAGCTGTACAAATGCAGAGCAAACATGTCGTCGGACATTTGGATCTTCATCTTCGGCTAAAGCGAACAAACACTCCAGAAACTCGTTAACAAAGTGTAGGAGAACCTGAGATTGGCTATGTATGAAGTGGTTGATGCATGCAAGAGCATGAGACCTAAATTATACGAAATTTTGTTTATTAGGTTTTTGAAAACTGTACTCGTTACAGGTACAGCATTAGAGAAATAAAGAATAGAAGAGCAACTAGGCCTTAGAATAAGTAGGACAAAAGTAAGTCTAAAGATTTGACTATGATCAAGCTAAATAACCAAGGACGAATTGCAGGACTAGCAAAATACTGAGCGCATAGCTGAGTGTTGGTTCAGAATGATCAGCTTGCGAAACTAATTAACTGAATTACTTACAAATTGTACGGTCATGGCCAACAAGCCGAAGCCTATCATTCTGGTGATTATTATTAAAGTATGTTGAAATCCAACATGCTTTTTACACATAGCTACCACCTGTTAACATCGCTTTGAGCATTTGCCGGTATTAGCTCGATATTAAAGTGAGTCACCAGTTTCCCGTAACAATCGACTGACGGTAAGATCGAGTTAAATCTACAAATACAAACTTTCAGTGACAAATGTTCGAGTAAATGATGCACTAACAAACGACATTGTATAACCCTACAATGAAAAACTGTAGTTTAATACGATGTGTACATTTCTAATTCAATATGGGAATTTTTATCTACTCGGTCTCAAACTAGATTCAAGTGATAACTCGCTGCTTAATGGAAAGTCAAGATTGGGTCAAAACTATGACCTCTTAGTCAAAGACGACCATTTTGGTATAGATAACAGTAAGCAACCTAAATGAAAGATAAACATGTTCACGAAGACATTTTAGTGTAATTTATTACATCTTGCACCTGCACTAAGTGAACATCAACAAAAACAGGAAGCTTGAGCAATAAAAGTTTCACAACATAATGTAGGTCTAGAAGATACTTGTCTCAGACTTAAAAGCGTGTTGGCAGCACCTAGTTATAAGCCACTTTAGGTTATAAAAAACATTTCGAAACCATTACGTTCGAACATGCAAACCTGCGACAGAAAGCCCCTAGACTTAAAGATCCGAGAGTGGAAACCAAGGAACAGCACCATAATAATGTAACGTCAGTTAAAAGTCATAAAACTTAAAATCCTCTTGAGTGTTCATTAGTGTAATCAATTACGTTAATTCAGATGTACGGGAACAATTTTTAATGTGTTCTACAACTAGGTCAAAGCAGTTTAAGTCAAATGACACGCTACACGTTAAAATCCAGAGATGAACAGAACCCTCGCCTACACATGTTTTTACCAAGCAATTAACTTTGAAGACCTACTGCCGTGACGAGTCGTCTATATCATTAAATAACCCACTAAAACAATAGATATTTGAGAGTGAAAGACCACTACAAGCTCCTTATTGCAAAAGAAAATATATTAGCTGAATCTGATAGTAAGCTTCACTAGTACTTAAAAAATATGAAGCATATCTCACCTGATTTTTGGACTGTCATGTCTAGAGTATTGTAAGAATTTCGGAATAAGCAGTCCTATAGGACAACCAATACGATCGGTTTCCAGTTGAGATGAAGAATCTTCGCATATTTTCTCGATCGCGCCAAAAGCACCCTAGAGACTTATTTAGTCATCGACATAACGAACCTCCATAAAATTAATATCATGAGAATCAATACATTCCACCAACTTTGGAAGCAACTCTGGCCAATTTTGTATGCCGTCACTAGTTACAATAGTGGTAATAAGAATTCCGACAATTGATCTGATCATAGGTGAACTATCACTGATGCACCGTAAACACCCATCCTTGATGTAGCTAATAAGTTCAGGAGGGCATCTCTTAAAGTGACTTTTCAGATTATTTTTTAGAATAAGTCCACTAAGAGAACGCGTGCTGTCACCTGGACAATATTTATAGTCAGATCATATTTTAAACTTACTTTCCGAACCTGCATTTGTCAAGATATAAGCTAGGTATTTGTTAAAATCAGGAACATTGTTCAACTCATTTAGTTTCTAAAACCGTTAAAGGGGGAACTTGATTAACCTCATGCACAACCCTTTGAACGTTTGTGTCAGTTGATTGGGAATTATGTAGCAAATCCAACGTTTGCCGTATCCCATCCTCATCTGGGAACCAACTCATCTTTACGAAATAACCGCCGGCTGTCTTCAAAGTGTCGTCTAAACAATATTAATCCCTCAAAGCCATAAAAGTATGTTTCCTATGACTTAAATGATCAAAAGTGGATTTCCGACGGGTGTTCTTTCAATTTTTGGCTTTCATCATCAGGCAGTGGGGTTAAGGTTTCTCCAGTGAGTAGCACACAAACCGTTCCGTTATCAAGAATCTTACCGAGGATAAGCATGGCTTTTCAGTGAATTTAAAGACGTCAAAGCCCAGAAGACCCACTTTTTATTCAAAAATGTTTAACTCATATAAATTTGTTTTGTACGTATTTAAAAGACGCATGTCACGGTAAATATTTCCTCAAAATGAATACTTCAGTAAGTCTACAAAATGGAGACCGACCTCCTTCGTTTTACTACACACACCCTGCCTGAAGGCTCTTGATCACCCAAACGCAAAACCTTGCGAGTGGGCACGCCCTATTGTGTGTCCTTTGCAACTACTGTATAGCTTAAATCAAACGCTTCTCACCAAATCGGCGACTTCCCAAATAAACCTTTGGGCTTATTCACCTCTGACTTCTGATCTGACTGGGAAAATATCACTAAAGATGTCACAACCATTGGGGGTTTTATAACGCTTTTGCCAGCAACACCTTCATAATCGAAGTATGCCAACCCAGTTAGATCAAAGTCAGGAGTGAAGGGGTTCGAAGTTATATTTGAAAGGGTATCGAGAACTCGAGAAGCGTTTGATCTAAGCTGGTTAACAGTTGTAGGAGATGCTTAGCGCCGAGTATCTACTGGCGATTTGGTGTGGATGTATGACCGAGCGCCTTGAGCTAGATGTGTCCATCAAAACCAATGCGATTACCATCAAATGTCGAAGACTTATAGAACTATTCATATTGAGAATTTAATTATCGCAACATGTCTTTCGATTATAAAGGTGTTACAGGCGATAGCGCCGTCAAACCCGGAATATCTGAGGCATCCTTAGGCACATAAACGAGCTGGAAACCGTAGATGATAAATAAATGTCGAACTCACTATTTTCTGAATCGTATTCAGTTTGTACATATTTCATTATTGGTTGTAAATCATTTAGTGTACACTGTAATGCTGCATTCCTGGTGTTCTTACGTAAAACCTATTGACCGATACTTAAAAATACACTATTTATTAATTAACTATTCCTTTCCAACCCTTTCACATCCAACTTGCTGGTTCAAAACCGACCGAATGCAAGGTCCCACTGTTAATCTTGTCTAATAGAGCTAACATACTTTTCGGGCACGAGCTCAGGGTCAGCTGGGATATCTAGCGAAGGTACTTATGTTCTTTACGTTTAATGATGTTACCTGGACAGTTGGTGTCGACATTTTCGTTAATATTTGTTGTAACAACTAATTAAGTTGTTGTAACTGCCGAATAAGCGGACTCCTGAGTCATTGCTTATTCATTGGTTTTGGTTTGGATGTTATGGACAGTTAGTTGTGCCGCGCTTTACTCTCGACTTTGTATGTGGATACCAGGCTAGCAACTCAGTGGAATCGTGTTAAAATACCATTGGCTTGTTGGTGCTTGGCAATCGTTTGAAGTCCAGTCGTACTCAGAAGTTTAGTTAAGAATCGTAACAGTCCAGATACTGGTTGGGATCAACGTGAAGCAATGTCAACTTGCTTGAAAACAGCTCAATTCATTCTTTTTTGATAGGAGCCTTACCAAATGTAGAGGAACATAGTTGAAACGTGTAATGGCCATTGGAATGTAACCCAAGAGACATTTATCACTTTTAGTCACCTTGAGTTGTTGATAACTTACACAGAAGCGTGTACATTCCTACACGACTTTTCTCATTCATAGGCAGCGAAATCGTTGGAGAATCGGCTTGAGAATTCCCGGAATTACTAAATAGACCAGAATGCATGGTGTTTTAACGAAACTCCTTTCACGCTTCAATGACGTTCACTCGCTTATGGCTTAATAGGTGTAGAATTTCATCTGATACGCCAATGAAAGTTCGCAAACCCACTGAGGGTTTGACTCTGCTTGATGACTGTCAGTTTTAAGTAGTCTAGAATAGCTTCCGCCTGTTTTTCAGTAAGCAAATAACTTCAACCGGCTGACTTTTCTAACTGGCTTAATGTATGTACTATGACGTGGAAACGTGCTACGAACGGATAGCCCAGCATGTTCATCAACCACATGTACGTAGCTAATTTCCGCGCATCTCAAGATCGTGTTTCGTTGTATTGCCTAAAGGGTTGTTTTACGTCACTTTCGAACTTGATAAACTCCCTCGTTAAGAAACGCCAAAGAATTGGAAGTGTATCATAGCATGAAATGACACATGCAAAAAACTACCATTTCACACTAGCTCAGATATCAGAGGACTGCTATGAACTCCAACCATCTACTATGTTGGTAGAACATGCTGACGAAGACACTCATGGACAAATATAGCATCTACTTTGATTATATCCCATGAGGAATGTTGTCGCGTCATCGTTTTCCCTTACTTATTTACTTACACCTGTTGTCCTCGTTGAGAAGCATGAGTCGTCCCCCAGCATCCATCATAGAACTCTGTCTTGAGCAACCCCCTTCAGTTGTTCCCAGTCGCTATTGATTTATCTGATGTCTGTTCCTAATTCCCGTCGCAATGTGTCTCTTGGTCTTCCTCTATTTATTGCCTTCCTTTCTTTCAGGATTTCAAGTTAGTGCTTACCTCTTTATGCAGTTTCATGATTTCCACAGTGTGTGTCTTATCCACTCCCAACAATAATAGGGACCTTCGGAGTATTTGTTTGAAATCTTATTCCAGGTTTAAACTCATTGTCACGTTATATACAGTGCAACTATCCGAATTTCTAGCCGTAATTCCATCGAATCAGACCATCTAGAAGATAGAAGACAAACAAGCTAAGTGACGCAAATCACTTAGCAAGTGTTATTGGTAGACATGGAATAAAAATCTACACATCCGTTACATATATAAACACAATAGAATGTACAGTTTTAGCCACTAACAGTAACAACACTTCCAATGGGGTTTCATTTCACGGATGAAATATAAAAAATCATGAAATATTCGTGTGTACAACATTACTATTATTCACAAACAGCTTATTGGTAAATAAGTGTTGTGAAGAAACAGTTTCAGGCTTCTTCAGAAATACAGCTATGTATGAGCTTCAGTAGTTTTCTCGTAATATTTAGACATGTTCCGTGGAATTTAGAAGAATACTGAGTTGACTTTAAAGAAAAGATAAAAAACATGGAGGAAAGAAATGTGAAATGTGTAAATAATTTAATAAGTATGTTTGCGAAACCGAATAGGAATAAACGGCAATATATGTACTACAAAACGGAAAAAATATATATAAGGAAGCAACTTTTTAATGCAGTAAGATTTAATGGTAGAACAAAAGTTTGTAGTGTAACAGTTTATGATGATGCTATAAAAGTGTCAAGTCTTTGCTTAGACTAGTCGTTGTATGTCAATTTGTATGGGTATTATAAATATGGTGAAGATAAAATGGGTCTGAAAAGTTAATTTATTTCAGTGTAGCACGAGATATTATCTTGATTACAAATTTAGGTGTTTAGGAATAAAATTTATGTAGAAGGTGAAAAGAGTGAGGGAATAAAGAAAGTAATAAAAGGATATCTAACGTGACAGGGGATCAACCGTGATAACAATAACGATAATAATAACAATAAGTATGCACATAAGCGAACTTCGGATATTTGGATGAAAAGAAGGGAAACACAGTAAAACAAATGAACAAAATTTCGAAGGTTCTGTAGTGGCATTGGACAATAGCCACACAATCCACAAAGCTGTGAACACGAGACTACTCAGAAAATTGATATTCAATATTTAACGCGGAGAAATACCTAACAATGGAGAAGGCGCGAACAATGAATTGAATGGACTGGGTTTGATCGGATGGCATGGCTCGTCCATGCAGGCGTGGTCTCTGCTGAATGTTACCTTATATCTTCTATTCATATTAAATATATTGTTCTTTCTCCAGCCTAACCTTGTTCTACATAATGTATTGGTAATTGATACGATACAGTGAGTTGGTGTAGTCGATGGTGTGACTTCCACGTAAGATCTTATAGATTAGGCAGTTATATCATGACAAATCTACAAATTTAGGATTAGGTCTATTATTAGAGCAATACTAATATCATAGTAGACCATAGTTCTACATTGGTGAGCCCAACTAAAGAAACGCAACCTATTATTATTAATCCTTACTTCCACTTCAACTTTCTCGATCGATTTTATATTTATGTTAACCCTGTATTATAATAGTCCTCTGATTAATGCTCACATGCATTATCGTAATGTTATATTGATTAGTCCTCATGACAAACTAGCTCAATCGATAATAAAAACTGGTCGTCTATATTAACTAATTAGCTTTGATGGTTTGTTAACAAGCTGTAATAGCATTTACATGCTTCAGCGACATAGTCTTGTTTAAACATCAAGCTCTAGCAAATATGACCTGTAAATAGCGTAAATACACATTGACTAACAATGCGATCAAGGACTAAATAGTTATCTGGATCTAATTCTCAGTGTTCCTTGACTTAACACCTCATCCTGTTTTAAACGATGCACTATCTTGTAATATCTTTTCTTCCGACCACTGCCTGCCTAAATTCATATTCTCGAGTTCCATTGCCAAACAACGAGGATGACTACTACAAAAACATACGGTGAGTTTCAGCAATAAGTTTTCTGCAATCATAAGGTTTTTTTAGATGGTTCGTTCAATGACAACCACACAATTATCTGGATTCATTCGATTGTTCTGATCCAAGCGAGTGGCAAAAACGTCAACAGCATCAAGCACCCTGGAAGTGATTGCCATACTGCATGTTTTATTCTGGATGCTTTTGGATCAATACTACTCACGAATGGCGTTATATATGTCGTCCACTGAATAATCTAATTTTCAAAAATAATCAAGGCGAGTTCAACTATTTTACTGGATGATTTTTTTGTACTTA